ACCTATGGCTGCTTGTGCGCATCTGCGTTCTACAATTACTATAAGCAAAACCAAGAGGAAGGTATGTACCTTGTTTATGTCTCTGAGAAGGGAGAGGCCGTTAAAACACCCCCGGAGATAGAACSYGTCGTTGCTAAGTTCCCTGATCTGTTCGARGAGCCCACAGGARTTGTTGATAGGGAAGTCGTYCACGCTATAGAAATCATTCCAGGGAGTAAGACCCCAAAGGGAAGGATCTATAGGATGGCCCCTGCCGAGTTAGATGAACTTCGGAAGCAACTCAAGGAGTTGACAGAGAAGGGATGGATTCGGCCTAGTACTTCCCCTTACGGATCACCCGTGCTATTCGTACCAAAGAAGGGGGGGTACTTTGAGGATGTGCATTGATTATAGGGGCCTCAATGCCATCACTGTGAAAAACGCAGAGCCTCTACCTCGCATAGACGACCTCTTGGATAGAGTGCAGGGATGCAAGTACTATACGAAGATAGACTTGAAATCCGGATATCATCAGATCGCAATAAGACCTGAGGACCAACAAAAGACAGCTTTTCAGACTAGATATGGTCTGTATGAGTTTGTAGTGATGCCTTTCGGTCTTTGCAATGCGTCGGGTACATTCCAGCACGCTATGAATCGGATCTTCCATGACCATTTAGATAAGTTTGTCGTAGTCTATCTAGACGACATTCTGATCTTTAGTAAGTCTGCAGAGGAGCACGCACAACATGTTGAGACAGTTCTCTCACTCCTACGACAGCACAAGTACAAGGTCAACCTAGAGAAGTGTGAATTCGGTCGCACTAAGATACTATACTTGGGTCACGAAGTGTCCGAGGAAGGGATTAGGCCGGATGATGCGAAGGTGGCTAGTATTCGAGACTGGCCACGACCTCAGACTGTCACTGAGGTCAGATCATTCTTAGGAATGTGCGGCTACTATAGGAACTTCGTTAAGAACTATTCTACTGTCGCCTCTCCTTTGACTGATCTAACTCGACTTGACACAACGTGGGACTGGAGTGATGAGTGCGAGGGTGCTTTCAAGAGATTCAAGCATACACTCATGAATCATGAAATTCTCATGGTTCCCGATCCGCAGAAGCCATTCATAGTGACCACTGACGCAAGCCAATACGGCATTGGCGCAGCGCTGGCTCAGCAGGATGGGAAAAAGTTGAGACCGATTGAGTACATGAGTAAGAGGATGCCATCAAAGAAGTTGGCTAAGTCCACCTATGAAAGGGAACTCTATGCTCTCTACAAGGCACTTGTCCATTGGAAACACTTCCTTTTGGGAAGGTTCTTCTATCTGAGGACTGATCATCAGACCCTCAAATGGATCAAGACTCAACCGGCTCTTTCTGATGCACTCAAGCGATGGATTGAGGTCATAGACCAATATGACTTCAAGCTCGAGTACCTAAAGGGAGAGTACAACAAGGTTGTGGACGCGCTATCCCGTAGAGCAGACTACCTAGGTGCGCTAGTTTCTGAATTTGGCATATCTAACGAAGTAACTCAATCATTGGTGGGAGCCTATCAAGAAGACCCTGTCACGATGGACATCATCCGCAAACTTCAGGCGAAAGACAAGGCCACTGAAGTGAGTTTGTGATGGTGGATGGGCTAATCTATCTTGATAAGGCCGGAGTAAAGAGATTGGTAGTTCCATCTAGTGAACAGTTGCGTAGTTTATTTTTAGGTGAATGTCATGACGCAACTGGGCACTTTGGCTATAAGAAGACGAGTGTTAACTTAGTACAACGATTTTGGTGGCCCCGACTGCTAGATGACGCAAAGAAGTATGTTGAGACCTGTCAGGTCTGTCAGCGGGACAAGCCGCGAACTCAAGCACCGCTTGGGTTATTGAAGCCTTTACCCATTCCTAATGGTCCAGGATTGAGTGTTTCCATGGATTTCATGGACACCCTAGTGACCAACAAGAGTGGTAAGAGGCACATTTTCGTCATCATTGACAAATTCACCAAGTACGCTAGACTAATACCAATGCCATAGACAGCCAGGACAGAGTATGTCATCAAGTTGTTCAAGGACAACTGGGTAAGGGACTTTGGTTTACCAAAGACCATCATTAGTGACCGAGACGTCCGCTTCACAAGTGAACTGTGGAAGACTGCAGAACAGATGGTCAGTCAACTTCAATTGACTTCAGGGAATCATCCCGAAGCCAACGGACAAGCCGAACAAATGAACAGAGTGGTACAGCACTTGCTGCGGCATTACATCAAGCCCAGCCAAGATGATTGGCATGAGCAGTTGCCTCTCATCGCCAGCTTGTACAACAATGCTATTCATAGTAGTACCGGCGTTAGTCCTAACCAGTTGCACTTGGGATGGAAGCCTAGATCAGCACTAGACTTCCTCCTACGTGAAAACCGACCTGCTGCAACTCCAGGGACACTTGAATACGGTGTGCAATATGAGAAGTTGCTGCGCGAGGYTGTTGAACATATGAAGAAAGCTCAGCAAGCCATGATTGCTTCTGAGAATCAACATCGCAGACAGTCCACATTTCAGGTGGGGGAACGTGTCTGGGTCAAGGCTAGTGAGTTAGGACAGGAGTTCGGAATATCTCGTAAACTAATGCCTCAATACTTCGGTCCCTGGGAAGTCTTGGATGTAATGGGAGATGAAATGCATGGTCCTACGTACATCATTCGTGTCGCTGGTCATCTACGCACTCACCCAGTTTTTTATGCCTCAAAGCTTGCACCTTTCGCTGAGACAGATCAATTCCCTTCCAGGAGATCGATGCTGACCCAACCATGGATGGTCAAGTTGACATCGACGACATTGTGGATCACAGGGACATGCCTGTTCAAAGCCGCTGGGCCGAGGAAGACCTCCCAAGCCCAACAGAGAGTACCGCGTCAGATTCAGGCATCATACGGATCCAAAATAAGATCGTTGGTTTACCAGGGAGGAACTGATTGACACAGCTCCTCACGTGGTGGCAGACTATGAGAAGAAGCTGAAAGGGAAGGCGCCTGCGAAGTAAGCATCTCAGCGGACTTTCGAGGCTAAGGGGGATTGAGCCCTCAAGTTGGGGCCTCGCCATGATGTACATGTTCTGGGCTAAGGCCCCAGCAAGCCTAGAGCCCGCCCTAAGTGAAGGCGGACCAGCAAATCGACAAGAGCCCTCTGTGCAACATTTCACGAAGTGGGGTCCATACAGTTGCAGCACGCCAGTTGGTTGGAGTGCACCGAGTCTCGGATTTCAGCAAATGCTGAAAGCCCAGGGCCTCTGAGTTGGTTAGGCCCTGGGCATCTGAACGTGAGGCCGACAATGCATGTTGGGAAGAGAGGCCGAAAATGCCAAAGGGAAATCGGCCCACTGTCTGAATCTGGCCGCAGGCCTTGATGAAGGAGGCGCAACTGCCTTACCCCGGGGCCCAACTGTATCGAGTTGGCTTCAGCCTCTGGGCCCCGGTCACAGGCTGAAGGGAGGCCGCCCACACACTGCACTGGCATATAGGCAAGCAGGGCGAGGCAGCGGGGATCTTGGCCAATGCTGGCATATGCGGGCACGCTGCGCAGATGCAGGTGGGCTGTGCTAATGCAGAGCAGCGCTGCGCTAAGAAGAAGCAGGGCAGCGCTAGGCGGTAGGGCGCTGCCTGCTTGCAGAGCACTGGCGGCCATAGCCGGGCCGTAAGAGGGTGCAGGGGAGGTGAGGGCGAAGGTGGTACTTCGGAGGTGAAGGGCGCTGTGTGGGTACAAGGGAGAGTGTGGGGAAGATGACACGTACCTGGTGATGGTGGAGGTCGGCATTGGTGTTGACATCATCACTCGCTGGTAGTCAAGTTGTCTAGTTGCTTTTCATTGCTGTAGTTGTAGGATAGTTGTAGAGTAGATAGGGCGCCTGGCACCATTCACAAGAGAGAGCTACATTTGGGTTATGCTGTTGGTGTTGCCCTGTTGGGCATGGACATTGACTCACGATTCGTCTGTATCATTCTCAATTGGATGGTTACTCGGTTCCATGTGCTATCTGCTTTGGCTTTGACTACTTGGACTTCAGTGTGATTTTGCATTCTGGATTTCTGTGCTTCGTCCATACTCATGTTCCTTAGGTATATCGTCACAAACAGAACTGCCCGGTAAACCGTAGGCAGAGAGAGAGAAGAGGACAACAAACGAGGGGCTGTGACA